CGAGTAAGGAAAACACAGGGGCATGTTTTATATCAACCTCATTCGGCTTAGTAAGAGGCTCGGTATGTGTTTGAACACAAATCAAAACCGTTAGTCACCCGCTTCTCTTTTTTTCGTATAGATGTGACCAAGGATTCCTCAGACAAGCACGAATTCTTCGCCTCGCCACCTTCTCCACGTTTTTAAAACACTGGCGGTTCCCCTCTGTTTGCCGCCCCTTTTCCAAGACCACCCCCTCATCACCACAATTTCAGACACTGACCCTCTTCGCCCAGCTTGCAAGTGTTGGCGTGACAATTGCATATCGATAAAAACTACTCAAACCTTAAAAACCCATTCCGCACCGTTATACAGCCCCTGCGAAGGCGCTGGTCATGCGTCTAAGTGTAACTAAAACCCATTTGATTTGCCCTCCTGCCAAGCAGATGATCTTTAGAGGCACCACTGCTCTCCAGTTTTAAAAAGCTTTGGGATAATTCCTTATACCGGCAACAGCCAGATCTTGTTGTAGAGCGGCCATAGTTTCAAGTAGCCCTCACTTTCCCCACTATGGCACCCAGTGTATGATGGGATTGTTTGCCGCTCACCTGCGGCAGGAAGGCGGAGGCGACCCGCAGCCCGTTGTGTCTGTAATTAAATGCACTCACCCTGTGGGGGTGGTATTCTTCGGTCTCCCTAGGGACTTATTACAGGCTCAAGAGAAGCGGCGAACAGATCGTCCTGTAATCCCGTGAAAACAGTTGTTAGCCCGCAGACGCAATCCAGTGGATTTCTAAACCCAATAACACAGCGAGATGACTAGCCAACTCTCAAAACCTTGTCTGAGCCACCTTGGCACTTGGAAAATGCTCGCTCATAGTGAATCGGCTGAATTACAATAACGTGCCCCAATAAGATACCTTATTAAAGTCACGGATAAAAAAAAGATGATGTTATTGTCCCAAGGCGAGAAGAGAACCCCACACCTCCCTTTGGGTGTTTATCCACATTGAACAGAGTATAACACTAACTTCATCTACAGCAGAACAAACCACCTCTGGTCCTGGCTAAACCCAACTCTCTGAGCCTTACAGGTTCTGAGGCACTGGCAACACTTGTTAAATTTTGATCAGTGAACCAAGTAATGTGAATTTGAAGTGGTGAGAGCTGAAGGGCTTTCAGACCTTTCCTCTTAAATGATATCTAACACTCATTTTGTCATTTTAACACACCAGCTGCTTAAGTGGTGATTTCATAGTTGCCTATCAAACAGGTGTGGGCAGTCCTGGTCCTGGAGGGGCGGTCAGTGTGTCTGCAGGTGCTCTAGCAGCAGCATCTGAAGAGCTGGGAGCAATGGGGTCCCCATTAAACCACTAACGAGATGACTGAGCTCGTTAAGAGCTGAGCTGGAATGTAAGTCTGCAGACACACCAGCCTTCCAGAAACAGGACTGCCCATCCCTGTTTTAAACCCCACTGGCCCTCCCTGATCCCCTGCAGCCACACCTGCTCCAGCCAGACTTGCGTGACTCCCGTTCGCTGCTCAAGACTCCAGCTAATCTGAAGGAGCCTCCACACCCGCTTCCAGCAGAATGGGCTGGGCAGGGTCATAGAGCCGTCGGCAAGAGATGTACAGTGGGACTCTTATATATGCTGTTCTCTCTGGACAGGCACAGTGCAGCAGACAACACCACACAATGTAGTTAGGACATTACAAAAAAGTCCATTATAAATAGTGACAGTACGTACAGACAATTAAACAAACAGAGCAATAAGTACAAACAGAGCAATAAATATGTGGTAGCCAGGTCAAAAGTGCAGAGCGCAGAGGTGTGTTGAATCCTGGGGCACTGCACAGTTAGCTTTTAAGGATGCTCCCTGCCTTGGGGTAGAAGCTGTTCTTAAGCCATTGATGCAGCGTCTTAAATTTGTTAGGAAGATTTTACCTCCTGGGAAAAGCTAAGGTTGCTGCTGGAAGAGGTATTAGGGCCAGTAAGGGGGCGCTCACCCTGCGGTCTGTCTGGACTTGCGCAGTACAATGCCCCAGTATAGTGATGGGGACATTATACTGTAAAATGGCGCCGTCCTTTGGATGAGATGTAAAACTGAGGTCCTGACTCACTGTGGTCATTAAAAATCCCAGGGTTTTTCTCGAAAAGAGTAGGGGTGTTACCCTGGCGTCCTGACCAAATTTCCCCTGGCCTGTACCAATCATGGCCTCTTAATAATCCCCATCTATGAACTGGCTTCATCACTCTGTTCTCCTCCCCACTGAGATCTGGTGTGTGGCGAGTGTACTGGCGCACTATGGCTGCCATCGCATCATCCAAGTGGGGCTACACATTGGTGGTGGTGGAGGGGATCACCATTAACTATAAAGTGCTTGGAGGGCAGTGTCCAGAAAAGCGCTATATAAGCATAAGCAATTATTATTATTATTGTTGTTGGCTGTGGAACCTCACAAGCTTTCATAGTACAGAGCCACCAGAGTCAGTGCTGCGATTCTAATTTCGCTTTTGCCACATCTGCAACAAAGAGGCAGCTTCTTGTTTCTACTGATATGTTCTGAGATGTTTGTGTTTTGCTTTGTAAGCATTCCAGGAAGTTTAAACACAGAGCTTTAAATACTACTCTAACAATAAATAAGAGAACGCGGGTCAGTCCATCTCCAGAGATAATTACAGTTGTAATGTGGCACAGGATCAAATCAGTGGGCTTCTCACATGATGTGAAATCTGCCATCTGTCACTTTTGCTCCAGTCGATTCCTGTGGTCTGAACTGTGCTTCCTCTTGTTTTTTTTATCCACCAGACACTGCCTGCAAACGCTTGGGGCCGTCTTAAGTGATACATTAGCCATGTCTGCTGTTGCCTTCAGCAAGGCACCATAGGCATGTGAATTGATAAGCATGCTTCATTTAAAGTCACTCAACTTTGGCCAACTTTCCTGATAACAACACTGAGGAAAAGGCACGATCGGCTACCTCTCCACCGTCTTCCAGCATCACGAGATACACCGTGAGTGGAGCCTGTCCCAGCAGTGGCCAGATCTGGATCAGGAGAGACCCAATTCATCCTGTCTCACAGGAAAACCTGACACCATCAGTTTGTCCAGACTAGAAACATGATTTCCTGTGGTTGCTGTGAGCTACGGCCTGCTGGTATTCTCACTTCAAATTTCAAAGTAGGAGTCCCATTGCTGGTTTCTGTTCTACCTGAGTACTCAATTAAATATAAAATAATCAGACCCAATCATAGGTTTAATTTGAACCTTCCTCAGTTGTAGGAAGTTGCCTTTTGATTATTGTGTTTGTCTTAGAATCTCCAGCCTTGCAGCAGAAACAAAGCTACAAAGGTTCTACTGGATCAGTGGGGGGTTTCAGTGAAGAGCTTGGCTACAATGCTAAGTAAAAACAATGGGAACAGCTGGTATTGAGGTGCTCAGCCACGAACTACCCCCCAGACTAGATGGGCCAAACAGCCTTCTCTTGTTTAAAACTGTTCCAATGATGAACTGAAGCTAAAGAGGGCAGCACAGTGGCACAGTGGCTAGCATTGCTGTCTCACAGCACTGGGGCCCTGTTTTCAGTCTCTGAGGTGCTGTCTGTGTGGAGTTTGCATGTTCATGTTGATTTCCTCCCACAGTCCAAAGACATTCTGAGAAAACTGTCCTTGTTGCAAGTGTGGGTGCATGTCTGTCCTGCAATGGACTGGCATCCCATTCAGGGTACCCTGCCTCAAGCGTGTAGCTTGCTACTTTAGGCTCCAGCTTCCCCATGACCCTGAACTGGAAGATGTGGATTGAAAACAGAGGACGCTAAAGCTCTGGGACACTGCAAAAAACTTCCTGAAACATATCAAGGTGGCCCAGAAACAAACCTCTGCAGAGCTTTACTTTAGCATTTGGTGCCCCCTAGTGGGAGAAAGGGGATGATAACTGACAAGTCATTCGAGACCACAATCCTTACTCTGCATCCTGAAGAGGATCTTTTCATTCCCACTTGAGCTGCTGATTACTTAATTTAATTAATCAGGGATCTGACTGGCCTTAAAGACCACTGTGTGGGAAGCCAGTGAGGAGCTGGGGTTCCTTATTATAGGCTATAAAACCTACGACGCTCTGGCTCCCCCTGACAAAACAGCAGTGAACTCAAGTTAGCATCACATTCCAAACAGGCCTTGGGAACCAGGCCACATATCACACCAGTAAGAGCAGATACAGATATTTCACATATCTAGAACAGTGGCACATATCTTAATAGGATGGGATGCATACACATTCATGCATTTCAGATTTTTTCCCCAATCTTGTACCTGGAATATCCCTGTGCCTCCTGTTTTACTTACTAGCCCTTGAATAATATTACTATTTGCTTTTGAAATTGAGCTCCAGGTGTTGAATATTAGGGTTAGAGATCACGAATGCAGTGCTAGGAAACAGGGCCCCTTGCAGCACAACGAAGGCCTATGCTGTCAGGTTAACACCATTGGGCCCAGTTCTGTAAATACATCAGCAGAAAGAAATCGGTTTGCTATGCTTCTTGTCAACAATACAATGCATTAAGCAATTTCTGAAACAGGAGACCAAAGTGCAGAAAACTGGTTAACAATCTTGTCATTTCAGTGTTAACTGAATCAAGACCTCAGCTGCGTCAAAATGCAGGAGGCACAAGGGTGGGGGGACACACTGACACACAGATGACCTGTCCACTCCTGGTGTGTCTTCAGGTTTTCTAGCCTTTTAAAAGCAGTTTTACCTGAAGGAGCTAAACGGGTCTTAACAGGCCAATAATTAGCTAATGAGCTCTTAATGAGCTCAGCTGGAACAACAAAACCTTCAGATACACCAGCCTTGTAGTACAACTAAAATTGGACAGCCCTTGACCCTGCAGAATGAGGCACGATGTACAGAGGAATTGGTGCTTTCATGGCGCCCCCTAGTGGTCACGGAATCTCCCTTCAGCCCGTTGGATTGGCTTTTACCTCTCAACCTCTATCCCAGAAGAAAAACACAGAAAACATGCAGATTTATTTGTTTTTACTTGGGCACAAACTACAGCAAACTTTGTTTTTGTTTTGTTTTTTTTTTGGGGGGGGTAACACAGGAAACAGGAACTTCTCCCATTCTTAAGAAACTCTTCAAAAACGTAAAACATGGTTCAAGTCAAAGCTTTTGTGCAAAGCCCTGCTTAGCTTATTAGAACTGGTACAAAACGAGACGCTTGCTGTGGTTGGCCCTGGGAGACAGCATTAGTGCTTCAAAGGGCGAGGGGGTGATGTAGAACAATAAAAAAAAAAACATCAGTGCTTGAGATCCCAACCTAAGAAGGGCGCAGGACGGTGCAGATGAGACCCTTTCATTCCTTTTTGGCGAAGTACTCCTTACTCTTCTGAACGTCCGGGACGATGGTGTCGCTGCCCGGCTTCCAGCCTGCAGGGCACACTGCAACACGAGGGAAAACGAGCATTAACCCAGGCTGGGGCATGTGGGACTGCGCCGGTTCTAGAGCTCATGTGGAACCAACCCCCACCCCCTCGTCCTCACCTTCCCCGTGCTTGTCGGTGAACTGGAAGGCCTGCACCAGGCGCAGGGTCTCGTCCACCGAGCGCCCCACCGGCAGGTCGTTGATGGTGATCTGGCGCAGGATGCCCTTGTCATCGATCACGAACAGCCCCCTGTGATGAAAGAGAGAGCGAGCGCAGAGACTGAAGACGAGTCTCGCAAAATTCAAGCCGGGAATTTGTAACCAGACAACAGGCACTGGAAAAGCGAAAGGGGACACGAGCTTCAGGAAAAGGGAACTCAATCACCGATATTCACGCCTGGTGCCGGAGGCTCAGAGCAGCATCGGGTTTTCATTCCATCCTGGACTTGCAAGGGCTATTAGAATCAATTGTTCATGTAGCACAGCTGCCTTACAGTGCTGGAGCCCTGGGTTCGACTCCTGGGGCTGTCTGTTTGGAGTTTGTATGTTCTCCCTGTGTTTACATGGTTTTCCGCCAGGCGCTCCGGGTTACCTCCCACAGTCCAAAGCCTTATTGGAAGATTAATTGGCTCCTGGGAAAAGTGGCCCTGCTGGGAGTGCGTGTGGCATTTGTGTGCCCTGCAATGGACCGGCGTCCTGTCCCATCCCGACTGTATCCTGCCTTGCGCTTAATGCTTGCTGGAATAGGCCCCAGCTCCTCCACAACTCTGAATTGCATAGTGTTTACAAAACAGATGGATGTTTGTTTAGATCTTTACCCCCTGTTTCCAGGTCTTTAGTCACTGAGGATTATAGGTCACCTACAAAACTACCTACTGTATGAACTGAGGCACTCCAGGACTAGGAGTGAATTGGTGATGATGCACGACAATGCCACAGGCAGAGTGCACTCGGGACGCAAAACCTGTACAGACACTGTGCAGCACACCAACACTTACAAACGCACACTCCCCATGTGTGCAGAGGCCAGCAGGTGAACCACTGGGTTTTCTGCCTGCCGAGGGTAGAGTCTGCGTATTCTCCGTCAAGATACTGCAATCATGCAAGCCAACTAAAATGCCGTCTTGAATTATAAATCTGACGATAAGGCCCAGCAGATTCCTCGCCCCTTTCATCTGTAAGGGAAGGCATCTCTGCTTGCTTCAGTCCTAGTTATCCAAAAAAGTGTTTCAGCAGCTTTTCAAAAGAGACCCATTCGGGCCAGTTGTGCTCCACAGTGGTGCCTCGTTACCTGCACATCCTGACCTGCGTTTCTCTGTGTCCTGTCTAAACCACCCACTTCAGGCAAAACAAATGACGAACTAACTGTGAGACTTTCATTTCTTGAGAGCTTGAGAATACAAGTAAATGATGCAATGTAAGATCTCTGATGAGCAACTAAATTCAGGGTTAAGACAGCTTAGGCATCAAGCGCTCCAGGCAGGGTCACTCAAACCCTCGTATTGAGGTCCGATGCCGCTCCGAGCCCCAGCGGGGAGACGGACTGACCTGTAAGCGATCCCCTCGTCCTCCTTTAGCACGCCGTAGTCCTGGGAGATGGACTGGGTCAGGTCGGCCACCAGGGGGATCTTCATGGCTCCCAGACCCCCTACCTTCCGGGGAGTGTTGGTCCTGGGAGGAAACAAGGAGGGGGGGAATCAACAACGTCCTGACACACCTGCATTAAGGTACTGGAGGGGCTTTATTGTATCCAGAATCCTGAAGGTTAACACCTGGGCTGAGTGTTCCTTCACTCTGGCACACTAGAGAAGCCAGGATCAGGTAGCCTGATGGAAGCACTTCAGTGGCAGATGAGTCCCGCGGTTCTGTAGAGGTTAAACTCGCCCTCATTCGACTCAGTCCCCCCAACAGCCAAAATTTACGAGCTCCCAGCTCTGGCACATCAGAAAGGGCAGTTCAGGGCTTGTGGGCAAGCCGAGACCTAGCAAAATCACATGCCACCTGGCTCGTCTGTATGGCGCACTCCTAGCAGAAGCACAGACATGAGGGTATCTGGGCTGCCAGAGTGTGGTGAGAGGGGTATGTTTGTGCCTGTTCTGTGCCTTATCTAACAGTCTCAAGCCTGCAGTCAATACAATCCGCTTAATTTATCTCTCCTGGATTTATTTTAAACAGAAGGTTCACTGTGCAGCGCTAAGAATGCAAAAGCATTAAATAAAGATTTACAAAAACAGTCAAGCCTTCATACTTTCAGTGAAGCGTCTGCTCTGTATCGTAACGTGTACAGTCATGGGGGATGTCCGATCTCACTGGTCCTTGTGTCGCCCGAGAATGAATTTGAGACTTTCAATTTGAGATGTAGAACATGTGTGGTTACAGAGGCAGTGCCTGTTATACGTCTCTCCTCTACTCATCCTCACGCACTTATAATGATCACGATTACAGTAACTGGACCAAAAAATTTCCAAGACTTTCATCAATGTTCAGAGCACCAAAAGCCAGCAACATCAGCGGCTCATGGATTATTTTGCTCCAGAAATGAAGAATTGTGCAGAGTAAGACCTAACATGAAAAACTCCTCTTGTACACAGTGCTGTTGCTCAGCCAAATCTCTTGAGCTGCAACATCAACGTTGCGTTCTTACCTCCACGCAGTACGTCACTGATCCAACCAGTGGTCACGAACAGTGCGTGTGTGGGGGGGGATTTCTACCCTGAAGCGGCGAATTCCTGTAGGTTTTGACGTGACCACAGTTTGAAAGGAGCTGGTGATGCCATTTTGATTTGTTTTTTTACAGGTACTGTACATTAAATGTATATACCCTCGCCTGAACTGTATGTTGGGAACGCATCTCAAGCAAACTGTATTGTTCCTCATGGATTTTAATTTCTCTATATAAATCTAGAGTACATATAACCTGGACTTACAACAGAACCCTCTGTATTGGATTTGGGCAGCTACAAGTGAAACACTACCTTCTGGTCCCTAATCCATCTTTATTCCATTAATTCCTATGGAAAAAACCTCTAGCGTTACGTTGTACGGGTAAAGTTAACACTCTTACAGTCCAAGAGCCTTAATGTTGACATTGTTCTTATGGGGAAAAACTACTCTACGCACGTTGTGTTGCTATATTTGCAACTTCCTGGTCCCTAACCCTGACGTATCGCAGGTTTAACAAGGACATTCACTAGTTAAATAAATGGAAGCCATTAAATTGAATAAAACTGCAAAGTAAGCAAAAGGAAAGGCGTGTTGGACAGTTAAGACGCGTAGTTACCATTTTACTGAGCACTCAGGGGAAATCGCCCTGCTCAGAAAGGGGCGTCGTCTGTTCAGTCTTCTCCCTTGAATGCCGACACTCTTGTACAGCTGGGCAGGACAAGGAGCACACATTACAGCACCTTGCTGACGGACACAGCAAGGAGATGCCCTTAACTTGTTAACGGCTCTAACGGTGGGGCAGCACACCCAGGGCACCTATCAGCGACAGGCTCGCCACCAGGCTCTCCTGTTTGGAGCCGATAAGGCCCAGGGCTGGGAGAGACACGCCACAGAGCGCCGAGCCTTTTAGAAAAGGGGACGCGGCCGTCATAACGAGTTCCACCTTAAAGCTGCACTATCTACAGCCATCCGGCGCCAGGATAAGGCAGGATAAGGCAGCGGGCACAGCCGAGGCCTGGGAGGTTTCGACACCCCACCCCACCCATCTCTCCACAGTTATTCTGCTGCATGTCCTGGATCACACAGCGTCCACATCGGTCTATACTGATCCCAACAGTGTGCACAGCACACAACGCATTTGACTTCAGGATCTCTTTGACATGACCCAGCACTGCCTGTGGGATCCTGTGTTCATACTCAGGAGCTCTTTTTCACCTGCACCGACGAAAAGCAAAAGAGCACTTTGTACAAGAGATGGCAGATGAGAGATGTAGCACCTAGAAAACAGATCAGACCCCCAGTCAGAGGGTGGTTTACTGCTGTGCACAAAACGGCCAAGGACAATGCGACTCCCTCACACACACACACACACGCGCGCGGCTGTTCGGCAGTAGCGTGTGATTTTCTTAAGCATTTTTCAATAATGAAATCACTCTTTGAGTGATACACAAATAAGACCTTTTAAAGAAGAAAAACAAGATTAGGTGAAATACTGTGCAGTACGCGTAACACGAGATAAGACTGGGGGTCTGCGAGTTGACCGAGGGGATTTGGGGAAAGAGCCAAATTGCTCAGTGTCTCCAGCAGAAAAATGTAAATAAAGTCCTGTTTTTTCTACTCATTTCTTTGTCTTGGCTGATGCCTTTTACAATACACCTCAGCTCTGAGCCCAGAGTACTGTACTGAAGCAGGGCTATGACCGGCTGGCTTGCCGATATCTGCGCTCCAGAGCAAGGAAGGGGGTTAGGGAACGAGCAGAGCTCTGACTCCCCCCCCCCGGACCCCCACTCACCAGGCCAGGTGAGAGAACTGCGAGTCCGTGGAGGCAGCGATCACCTCGCAGTTGATCTTGCGGAATTCCTCGGCGCGGTCACTGAAGGCCACGATCTCCGTGGGGCAGACGAAGGTGAAGTCCAGGGGGTAGAAGAAGAAGACCACGTACTTCCCTGGCGGGGTCGAGCCATTCGAGGAGGGGGGGGGAGAGAGAGAGAGTGTCAGAGGTTGACCCACTGCTCTAACACCATTATACAGGCATTGGAACAGGGAAAACTTCACTGAAAAAACCCTACGCAGCTTGAAGATAAACACATCCCTGCGGCATACTGGAAGAGAGAGAGAGAGCGAAAGAGGGGACAAAAAGCATTAAACCGTGAAACAAGGCCGATTCTTGACGGGACATCACATGACAGTCGAGTGGTGAGAAAAGAGGAAAAAAAAACTCCTTTAGGGGGAAATTCTACAGTAGGACGATTCTGCACCAGACGCTTCGAAAGCTGACAGAACTCATGTGGGTTTGTAGGTGGCCTGCCTTGCATTTTTCGGAGTTAAGAGGTAATTAATCCCAGAGTCCTATCTGGCTTTTTCCTGACGGTTCCCAATGCCGTACCGAGATCTGCTCCGGGCAGAGGGACGCGCTTTCCCCTCCATGAACAAAAACATAAGCTCTTTCGTGGACAGAGGTTGCTAATGTGATAAAGCCGACCCCTCTCAGGCCTCACAGAACAGAAGCTTGGTGGTTCAGTATTTTTGGCTGGTTTCACTTCCACCTGTGGTGGAACATGACAGTTAAACGCAATGCAAAAAAAAAAGGCTCTGAAACTCAAAAGCCCAAGACGCCGTGTGAGAGACGGGGCTGTGCTTGTCGGCCACTGCGTCCCCGGGGGAACGGCGCAGAGACAGCGCCACCGCCGCGTTACCTCTGTAGTCCGACAGCTTGATCTCCTTGAACTGGCCGTCCACCACCGCCGTGGCCTGGAAGTGGGGGGCGGGCTTCCCGATCTTGGCGTTCCCAGAAGACATTCCAGCTGGCGGCTGCAAGGAAAAAAAAAAAGACGCAGGGTGGTGGTGTCAATCCAGCACTGGATTGCTCGGCAGTACCGAGACAGCGCAAGGCAAGCCTCCACCGAGGAGGATCAGCCAGCACGCGAGAGCTCAGCTAGGACAGGTCTTCGGAGAGATGGGGCACACAGCTCCTGCACCCGTTAGACAAGGGCTGACCGGCCCGATTCCCTTTTCACCACATTTTCATCATTCTAACATGTTTCTGGATGCTCCACTCAAAGGGCTTTACAGGTAATGGGGACTCCCCTCCACCACCAGTGTGTTGCCCCACCTGGATGCTGCGACAGCAGCCATAGCGCACCAGTACACTCACCACACACCAGCTATCGGGGGGAGGAGAACAGAGTGATGAAGCCAATTCAAGATGGGGATTATTAGGAGGCCATGATCGGTACAGGCCAGGGGGAGATTTGGTTGGGACACTGGCCCATAGAAACCGGTCTCAACCGCTGTCATAAGAAAAGGCTGTAGCAGTTTCCTGGAAGAGGGCCGTGCAGCTGTACACGTTCCTTTCCCTCGCTCGAGCAAGAGGAACTCGCCGGGGTAATTCAGAGGGGGGGGGGGGGTTCCCCTCTTCTTCTTCTCGAGAATTCCCCACGCTCAGATCTGCGCTCGGTCCCCCTTCCCAGCACTGGCTCTATAAAGTGGGGGAGGGGCAAGAGCACCTCGAGCCTAACGGAGCGCTCAGGAGGGGGAGGTGGGGCGCGGGTGCACACGAGGGGCCCCGAGACGTCTCCGTCCCACCACACGCTCGCACGCGCCCCTCGCAGCCTTCAGGGGTGGCAATAAACACCCGTCACCCCCAAGACCGATTTAAAACAACGGAGCTGCGCAGAACTCCATAGTCACATGCAAGTCACTAATCCTACAGCTCCCCTGTGCCTCCGGCTTTGGAAACAGCCGGATATAAAGAGGAGCAATTCCTTGGGGGCACCCATGTTCTCTCTGGATTTCATTCCAGCGGAGCTCCTGATGAGTGGTTAATTGATTTCTATTTTTTTTTTTATTTAAGGCACGTTTAAATAATCTCGGCGGCTGATAACAGACTTCCTCCCTGCCCCAGTGACTGGAGTTCAGACTCCCCCACATTCAGCTATTACCTGATCAAGACACTACGGGGAAAAAACACGCCCAGTGTGGGTGTTTGACACGTGACATGCTGCGAGCACTCGTCAAAAATCACCTATTAGCAGCAGGTCACGCACAAACGGCCCCTACATTTGAGGAGAAACACTTTGAAGCTGTGAACGCGAACAGCCTTCAAAGTACGAGGATGGAACAGGGAATTTCTCAAACACGTATTGAGCACAGAAACAAGTTATCCGCTCGCGTGTTTAGATAGTTGGTTAACTAAGAGGCATCAAGCAGCGCTGGTGATTTACAGCTCTGCTGGGGTGTAAACCAACAACAGAGTGGGGAGCCCCAGATTAGTCGGTTTTCTTTTCCGATGAAAGCGCATGAACCCAAACTTGTTTTAATCGCGTAATGAAAAAACTACGATTATCTTTCAGATGAACTTGAGAAATTAAGAAACTCGATGCGCCTTTCTCATTAAATTACTGCGCCGCATTCACCGGTCAGAACAGAAGTCTTAGAGTAATTGTACAAAAGGCGCTCTTCACGAAGATTAGAAAAAAAAGTGTATAGAGAGACTTCAAGGCAGGGCGAAATATATCGGATATCAAGGAAGACTTATCATCACAGTGAGCTGCGGCTCGGTCACTGCAAGATAAGTTAGACAATTCCCTTCTAACACGCTGTTTCTAACAGCTCCAGTGACACAGCAAAACGCATCAAAAGAGCTCATTGTCCTCGTTTCGCATTTTCGCCTAATAAATCCGCTTCAGAATTTGGACTACATATTCTGCTCACAGTATGCACTAAAGGAAAATAAGCCTTTACTCTCAAATAAATGACAAATGCAAGAGACAGCACAGCAAGTGTGTGACTAAACTACGGCATTTGACCCTATGGAACGTATAAAGATAGAAACGACATATTCAATAACAGTCCGCTCCACAAAGGAATAAAATGAAGCACAGCGGGAGACAGAGCCCGCCTCCATTCATTTCTTGAGCTCTATCCACCCGACACAATCAAGTCTTACTATGCATACGTTCCTCACACACACACAACTAGTTGCATAAAACTAAAACGCAGAATTGCAATTGCTTAATTAAACCGGGCATGCAAAGTGTAATCTCATGTCAGTCTGCAATGGACACTCACGAGTTGTTATTCTGAGGGCTCGAACAGCTCTGCGCTCTCGCGTCCGCAAAACAGAACTCCGGTCTTGCACTTGACTCCACAGCAGGAGGAGCTCGTGACCAGTGACCTCACGATAAACCCGCCGACTCCACTTCTCGCGAGAGTGACGCCGGGTCGCATTCCAAGACGAATCTAGAATTATAATAATATAATAATAATAATGTTCTGAAATTAGGCCTGGTAGTTTCACCTACAGAAAAGCGAGAGAACATTGATATGGGGAAAAATGTAAACATGTAAAATTACGAAGTACGTTACTAAATACATTATTAATGTACCGGTTAATATACAGAAACACATTTGGAAAACAAACAGATATATAGAGGGATATAGAAAGATCGATACACACATGAAAGAACCATGTTATTGCTATATCAACTCACAGCTGGCAGCCCATTGGAGCTCAGCAGGTACCTGGCCAGTACCTGGATGGGAGACCTCCTGGGTCTGTTTTGAAAAGAGTAGGGGTGTAACCCCTGCATCCTGGCCAAATTTCCCTCTGGCCTTTACTTATCATTGCCCATCTCCGAACTGGCTTCATTGCTCCTCTCCACTGATAACTGATGGGTGGAGAGTGTACTGTGGGGTGTTGGTGGTTACCTGTAAAGTGCCTTATAAGTGTAAGGATATTGTTTCAAGAAAAGATGATGTTTGTTTGAAAAGTTTGTTTTTATTGTATTTTGGTTTCTGACTGTTACTTGCCTAAAAATGTGTATATAACAAATTACTAACTTCCACATAATAATATTCATATTACTTTGAATGTAATTTTACTGAATCCAATATTTACATATTTTTAAAGAACAGTTCGTGTAGTTTTCTCGCACGCTAGACCACAAAGAACTACAAATCCCATGACGCACCACATAAATACAATAATACTTATTAACATTTTATACTTTTATGAGGAATAATCTAATCTCTTAAGAACAATTACATTAGTCTGAGTAGTTCTTTTTACGTTTCACATTAAAAAAATATTGTTTATTTGTATTTACTATAGCGTCAGGAGTTCAAAAGGTGAAAGGTCGAACGTTAGTTTCTCGCGCGCTAAGCAAAGCTGCAGAACTGCAGGAGTTGTAGGTGTAAATCTGTAAGTAGCACTAGTTTCGCTGTATGCTTGTAATCATTTATGTATTCCTAAAAGAGAGATTAAAAGAGTTTTAGTACTCTCTTGTTTACGATAAGTAGTTTTTGTAAAACCATTTGAGACATTTTAAAGAAACTTAAAATTCCCCCGTCGTGATACATTAAAAACTCCCATCTTTTGAACATGCATTGTAAAAATTTGATCAGCTGTGAAGTACGATAAATACCTAAAACACTTTTGCTTTATAATTGGTAAAACGGATTTTGATAAACCATCGTGGGGGAATTATTCATTTAGTTACTTTCCGTGCCCGAACAAATAAACGCGTATGTTTCAACAGTATTAGGGATTACCCATAGTAAAATTGATACTTTTTAGTGGTCGCGATCATATATTAAAAAAAGCTTTCTCTCCGTTCGCGACTGCCATTTTAAAGCAGACTTCCCGAGAAGAAAAGATTACCCTAAAAGATGAGTTAGCGTTTTTTTTTTGTGCAGCATAAGGTTTAAAACCTTTCCTAGGAGAAGCCAGTCCCTTTAAAAACGCAGTCTGCTTTAACACAAACTGCAGCAGGCTCCGGCTGACACCGCTTCACGAATAGCTTGTTCGAAACACGATCAGTTTTGGAATATGAGCGGGCGTGCAATATTTTCAACTGTCAGTTTGCTTTATATTCAGCATTTTACAGTCTTGCCGAGTGTGGACGCTTGTGACGGCTCTTTATAAAGAGCCCGCAGTTGAAGAAGATGGACCTCGGCAAATTCGAGGAAGATAACTCCCAAAGCTGCCGCCTGTCGTCGGCTGTTCCAGAGGTGTGTAAGACCGAGGACTGCTGTCTGGGGATCGACGAGGCCGGACGGGGCCCCGTGCTCGGTGAGAAATCGCAAACCTGCCACCCCCCTTTGGGAAAACTCGCAGGGTCTGTCTTTGCTGTCGCTGAGCTCTGGATAATTTTGTTGATCCTCTGACTTTGTATGAGGAGCCACAGTGACTTCTAATAATAATATTTATATAGCTGTAGAGCTTAGGCTTGTATAGGTCCTTGCTGGACCCTCCACACAAAGGGCTTTACAGGTAAAGGGGACTCCCCTCCACCACCACCAGTGTGGTGAGAATAGAATCCCAGAGAATACAAAGAAATAAACGTGCCTAAAATGAAGTTGAAATGGAAACCAGAAAGCATGGCCACCCAGAAGAAAGAGAGTCTGAAACTCTGACAGTGAAACCTGCAGGACTGTCACGTAGCAGGTCCTGGGCTGCAGATTCTAGTAAGGCAACTTCACGCATGGTGCCGATTCAGAACGTCACCGCACAGATACAGCACGTTCTGTGTTGGCATTCTTCCCTCCTGTCTGCAGGACAGATCAGACCTGTCGCTTTGCTTTGACTCGGACTCTTTTCCTGCTGAGTGGTGTATAATTCCTCTCGGTGGGAATGTGTCCCAGGTGGCCTGTGGTATGTGGGCTCTTGTTCGTGTTCAAGGACAGAGGGGTTTCCTGTGGCTTGTCTTCTGGTGGGTCCCATTGAAGAGATTGGCTCGGTTAGGTTTCTCACTCCCAGAAGGCTTTGATCCTTGCTTAGCCATTGAAGATGGTGAGGTGGACTGCCCACATGAGTGGGCTGTCGTTGTTTTACTTCAGTTCCAGTTGAATTTATTTTGTGCTGTGAGTGAGGCTGTCTGTGTTTTAAAAACACAGCTCTGTTCTGTCTACTAAAGAGTCTTTTTTTATATATATATACTCCTCCTAGGCCCCATGGTTTATGGAATCTGCTATTGCCCCATCTCGAAGAAAACCGACCTTCAGGATTTGAAAGTTGCAGGTAATGATCGGGCCGGACTGCGTTTCCTTCAGGCCTGTTTTTGCTTGTCCGTTCCCGTGACTCCTCCCCCGCTTCGTTTTCAGATTCCAAGACCCTGTCGGAGGTGGAGCGGGAGAATCTGTTCGGCCAGCTGGAGGAGGCCAACAGCTACGTGGGCTGGGCCCTGCACATCCTCTCCCCCAACACCATCTCCACGGGCATGCTGCAGAGGTACGACGCCTCCCTGCTCCCCCTGCCGGCCACCGCTCTGCGCGGGCTGGGCGTGGTCGGGAGCGCGTGGCAGGACCCCGATTTTGGCCTGGGCTGGCGTCGTGCATGGCCTGACGCAGACGCTGCAGAGGGGGGGGCAGACGTTGAGGCTGCGGGAGGGAGGATTGTGGGAAAGCTGAGGCCAGCGAGTTCAGAGGTGTTTTTTGTTTTAATTATGTCCGGCAATGAACTGGGAACACGAATGGGCACCAAAAGAATATTAGTGTACACGTATGGAGATTCTAGTGTCTACCCCGTTTACCTCATTGTTTGTTAAATTGCACTGATCAATTCGCGCACCGCAGCGTGCTGTAGCTCACATTGTGAATTAGATGCTGAAGCAGGTGATGGGTTTGCCGTCTGCTCTCCAACAGGGCGAAATACAATCTGAATGCCCTTTCCCACGACACAGCGATAGGGCTGGTGCAGTATGCGCTGGACTGTGGCGTGCAGGTCAAAGAGGTATGGTGCATCTTCTGTATTTTCCATGCAGTTCAAAAACTGAGTCTGAGCTCTGCTTCCTAGCCCATGTTTTCAATAATTAAACAAAAGATCTTTTTTCCCCCCCATTGCCCTCTTTCCTCCTCTGCTCCTGCCTCTCTCTCTCTCCACCCGGCTGTGTGCAGCTGTTCGTTGACACAGTGGGCCCAGCTGAGAAGTACCAGGAGAAGCTGTCCCAGCGCTTCCCAGGCATAGTGGTCACGGTCCGGCCCAAAGCTGATTCCCTCTTCCCCATTGTCAGCGCCGCCAGTATCTGTGCCAAGGTGAGCCTATTTCCTACCCATCGGCCTTGGCTCCGGGCACTGCCCTGGGGGAAGAAATAACTTTCTTCTGCCTTTGGATGCCTTTGCACTGTCTCGGACACTTTCATTTCAGCCAGCACTTAGGTGGATATGTCTGGTACCTTCCCTGGGTTCCATAACTAAACCCCGGTCTTTAACCTATGTGACCGGCTGCTGAAGTCTAGCTCTAGTATACAGTATCCTGCTCTCTTCTCATTTGATTTAATCTCTGTGAAAAGTGTACACAGCTGTATATGTACAGTATTCATAATCTCACAGTTAATTTTACATTGCAAAAGTATAAGGGACAGTGCTTGCAATTCTCAAGTGTGACCTGCAGGTGGCAGTGTGGTTCTTTTTTTTAACAAGGCAGTGATAGAAATATATCCAGAGCTGAGCTTCTTTTTCCTAGAGATGAGTGTGACCTCAGTGCACTTTGGTTAGGAGGATCACTGTATTAGATGAGTTACGTGTTGGGCCATTGTTTGGGAACCTTTGTCTTTATAATCACTTAGCTCATATCCGAACTGCTGTCTTATGCTGCTGCAGCTCTTTTGTTTACATGTTGGTCTCCCTTCCAGTGTTTCTATAAATGCCGTCGATGTCTTGTTGTCACACAGGTTTCCAGAGACCGTGTGGTGAAGTCCTGGAAGTTTGTGGAAGATCTTGGAGAAGTGGACACAGACTACGGATCGGGGTACCCCAACGGTGAGTCTACTGGGACTAGGGTCTCACCTGTTGAGGCTGCACTGCGTAATCCAAATACAGAACCTGGAGATATACGTGATTTTCATGCACATGTGAATTTTTAATGTTGTGATATTGAGTGCGCTGTTCATAAATTATGGAATGTATCCAACTACAGTACTGCAGGATCATATTTCCATGTAATGGAGGGCAGCCTTTAACTGCAACACCTCACACTACATTCATGTATTCAAGTTTTTTTGCATGAGGTTTGAAAATGTCTTGCATGAGTAATATACACAATTTATTTTATTTTGCCAGTATTTTGGGCACGGCAATATATGCTTTCAAGAGCTTGCCTTTGTGTTAGTCTTGATGGCTTTTTTTCCCCACTGGTGTGAGGCAACTTTAGCAACTCTGTCTCTGATGGTCAGCCACATGGTGCCCATTCTCTGTGCTGTAGGCAAAATTCCCTTCTGGTTTTATCTCCGTTGAAGGGGAACTGCAACGCTTTTTGTATTTCCGGGTTAGATAGAATCAGATTTGCCAAGTGCATTTCAGACCGCCATGAAAATAAAATGTATACAGTAAAGTGTAGGTTTTATACGTTACTATATACATCACAAAATGGATAGTTTCCAGGTATCAGCAGTGACATATTGCCGTCACTGTCTGCAATTCAGAACCAGGCAACAAAACGTTTTGGTGATATGAAGCGGCTCTATTACACTGTAATCAAGCAGGCTTGTGAATCCATCTCTTTTAGTCTAATAGAAATATTGCTCTTTCCTTCAAGATGGTTTTGCTGACATACTACTCGTTAACTCAGCATGCAGATCACGTTGTAACATTTTGGCAGTGAAATGTCTGCTGTACAACCTGTACTTATTCGCTTGTATATCACATTAAATTAGTGATTACAGTGACTAGTGAGTCACTCATCCCTTACTCCAGAGCGGGGAGGGTCACTTCTCTTTCATTCTCGCAGACTCTCGACAACATGCCGTAGAAACTGCGCAATGATCAGGCTCTTGAGGTGAGCAGGAAGGCAGATCTTTATTGTATGCAAACACGAGCACAGTACAGAATACTGTTCTGAATGTACTGTAGCTTAAATTGAATACAGCAGTTTCCCTTTTTGTACAGTGAGAGTAACACTAATTCAGTCATACAAGAGGAAGCCAAAACAATAGCAGACATTCCAGCAGGAAAACATCTACAAGATATTTTCTTAGGCAGTTTTAGTTGTTTGCGTACCAGGAGAACATTTACATTCACAACAGAAGGTTTATTACCCTTTTATCTGGTCTGTTACCAGATAAGAATACTGAGCGATTGCGCTGTCGGCCACCTCCTCTCCAAGGCTAAGGACAGTTATGAGAACAGAGCCCTTTCTCAGAGCACACAATTCTTAACCCTTTGGATTCCCTCAGTGCTACCCTGCAGTGCTTTGACAAAGTTCACACCTCTGTGTTTAATTTGTAATTGGTAAAGTTTTGCGAAACTGTCAATTTATTTTGTTACTGAGATTTAAAAACCAGTCAGAAAAAATGGGAAGGCAGTTCCCCTTTAAAAATAACAAGCTGTGATCCGAGAAACACTTTGAGTCTCCTTCTTCTGACAGACCCTAATTAACATTCATCGTTGAGCCTCAGACTGCCTGAGCATGACTGGTGAGCTGCTCAAGCTCTCTGCTTTGCATGGAAAATGCAGCACGTAGCCTCACTACAGTCCCTGGTCACCTTGGCGACTAATGTCTCTCTTTGTGCACAGACCCCAAGACTAAAGCCTGGCTGGCCAAGTACCTGGACCCCGTGTTCGGGTACCCCCAGTTTGTGCGTTTCAGCTGGAGCACCGCGCAGACCATCATGGAGAGCAAGGCTGTGCCTGTGCACTGGTAAGCGGGCCTGCTTGTGCAGAGGGCCAGCTGGCTCAGCTTCTCCCCAGCACGTCCAGTAGAGTGTCAGTGACCAGGGAGAGGAGGCCGTTCACACAAGAAGGGTTTTGCTGGAATCTCCCGAGATTCCGGAGTGTTGGGAAGTGAGCAGCTGTCCTCGGTTATTCCTAAAGTTGGGAATGGCCAATCCCCTCTGTCCCGGTTAAGGGACTTATGCGTCGCCCATAAATCATCACTCTGCAAAGGACGAGGGGTGCGTGTGACGTATCAGTCAATTCCGAAAGTTAAGAGGTTCAGTTAAGTCGGGACTGAGCATCTGTGGTCCTTGTGAAATCCAAGGGTTTGAGAATTCCTTTTGAAATGATCTCGTACGTTACTCAGCTGCTCAGACCAGCTGCTTCAGTGGGCCAAATGAAACGGTTCTAAGTGCTGGGAGTGGAACATTTTAGGGGTGACCCATAACCACCTCCTGGACTGAGGATGGTCTTCACGTATGACAGGGAAGGACAACATGCTCTGTAAATTAGACATAGCAGGGTCACAAGCAGAGCATTGAGAGGAACATGCAGTCGAAAGCCTTTAAGGCTGTGGAAGATGTTTCATCTCTTTTGCGTGCCATCTGTTTCTAACCATTGTCCATTTGCTACAGTCCATCTCAGTCTGGCTTGTGCTTGTATGTTGTGTCTGTTTTTCAAAAGCAGTCTTTCTCCTGAGAGCCAAACGGGCCGTTGAGCACAATTCGTGGTTGACCTTGAATCGTACTGGAGGAGGTAAAGCTAAAGACTGGTCTCAGGTTGGCTTTTTGTGTCCGTATCGGAGAGGAAGGAAAACGGTCTTTCTCAACCAGGGCTTGCCTAAATCTCCGAACGGTTTAGATACAGCTGGATGCCTCCTTCTTACTCCACAAGGGAAGGGAAGACGAGATCAGCAGGTTTTATGCAAATCTGTTTCTCAGTGCACTGATGCAGTTCATAAATCATTTGAAATTAAATTACTAAAACCTGTAGCTCTTGCGGACCACAGTTGCCCATTCCTGGCTTGACCAGACCAGTTAATTTGCTAAATTAATAACGCAAGTGTTCCCAAACTTTGCAAATTGATTTAAGGCCACCAGTTAAGCGTGTTGGATCCCGGCTCTCCAGGATGAGAGCTGTCTGCCATTGCTATACAGCAGTGGTTCTGAAGCCCAGCTCTGGGGGATCACTTCACCTGGTCTTATCGGGTCTCTGATCCAGCCAGGTCCTTTGAGGCTGACTTATTTCAGTTTTTTTCAGATGCGTTTTTAAAATGCTCTTTCAGCTCTTAAAAAGCCGAATGAGATTTGTAATTGGTATAAATCCTATGCTAATGAGAGAGTATTTACAACTGCCCTCAATCAAGCCTGCTATTTAAAATATGACCAACTGGACTCTTTTTGCCTTATGCCTGTTGCTTGCTGGGATAGGCTCTGGCTCTTCCACCACCCTGCACTGGATAAAGTAGTTTGAAAATAAATGTAGGGATTCAAGGTAAATGACAAACACTACCTCACTGTGGGAGTGTCTGATACAGGGTCTTTCCCTCCTGTGGTCTGTTCATCAATTCATCTCCTATTAATCAGAGCCATTGAGTCAGAAATGTGGAAGCACGTTCTTAATTAATAACGTTCTGTGTGCTGAAGTTGCTGGAAATGAGGGCTAAGTGCAGAAAAAAAAAAGTCAGCAGCAGGCCAGCTGGCCAATGAGCGCCCGTGATTGAGCGCCCGGTTGGAACGCAGACGAGTAGAGACAGCAGGTCCTCGAGCACATCCGCTGTGCAGCCTCAGCCCAAGGCGTGCGTGTGCGCTTGGCAGCAAGGGAGCAGCTGCAGGGAGACAGCGGCCCTCTTCAGTTCCCACAGAAGGTCAGTGATTGCGGACAGAGTACGGGCAACAAACAGAAAATAACTAAGGGCCATGTTGCCCCTAGTACTTGCCCACAAATAAAGGAGGCGCCTCGAGCCCTAGGGTCCTGTAGTTACCCTTCCAGCTGAGCTCTCCATAAACTGGCTATACTTTGTTGGCCCAGATCGACCTCCCAGTGTCTTTCTCCCCGAGCTCGGTGATCGTGAGAAATAAATCTCAGAGGTCTGGGGTTTTCCTCGAGCTCCGAGGCTGCTGGGAATGAGGGCAGCCTGAGAGCAGTCAGGGGGAGGGGCAGGCTTGCCAAAAGAAAAGGGGCCGGAAAGTCGCCATTGGGTAAATCCTGGCGCTGGCGGGCGAGATGGAGAACGCGCTACTTTCCCGACCCGCCCGCTCTCATCGCCGTCTCCTCCGAGCAGGGACGACGACGAGCAGGACGGGGAGAAGGCGGCGGCCAAGCAGAACTGCGCCTCCATGCTGTCTTACTTCAGCCGCAAGAAGCCGGAGAGCGCCGGGAGAGAGCCGCACCGCTACTTCGCCGAGCGGAGACTGGAGACGGTGGAGAACCTGTGAGCGCCCCTCCCCCACTGCACGACGGCCCCACAGACAAGCAGGTCAGGAGGGGGCGTCGACTTGCACCGGGGGTGCAGGGCATCGCTACCGGAACATCCACCTCGGGCTTCCGTTTCCAGAAGGTCTGATGGAAACCTGAAGCCTTCTCTCCGCAGTACTGTCGAGCTGAGCCGACCTCAGGGATGATTTCGTTAGCCGTTTGAGCCAGAGGGGAGAGTTTCTGAGACCATGTCGCCGCTGGAGCACAAAGAGAAAAGGAGAACGCGTACTAATCTGGTGGACAGCAGAACCCTCAGCCTCCTAGCTGTGCGCAATTTGTTTCAATTACTTTTTCCACTGTGCCAGTGCGTGCCGCCTGGACTAGCAATCGACACCCTTGTGGCGTGATGTTGTCTTGTGACTGTTTCTCATTATGGAAGAAGGGCACATCTGCAAAAAACACGGCTCCTTGTGATAGAGAGAGGCCAGCGGTCCATCTGCCCTCAAATAAAATTTGTTCAATTTCCAGGTTAAATTCAACAGCGGTAGCTTTGTGGCGGGATGCGGACTTGGAACTTGTTGATGGAATTCCGTTACCCTGGTAACCTTGTGCTGCAGTAGCTACGTTAGTTACGCTGCCATGGCAACATAGTCATGTTTCCTCATGAAGAATTCCAGGTTAGATTACCAGTCCTGAAATCTGAAAGGACTGCAGGAGCAGCAGCACATAGACAGCAAGAGAAGTGCTTGAGAAAGGTTGTAAGTGTGAGAACAAACCATGCTGTTTCTGGAAAGAACATGGCTGGGTAACTTGTTCCACACTCCCACAACTCTTTGTGTAAAGCAGTATCTGTAGCATCCATGGGTGTCTTTATTAATCTCTTTCAAATTAAACCTTCCAGCCCTGCTCAAGGCTGCATGTTTGTTCTGTTATGTGCTTTCTGGGGCACTGTTTGTAACTGTGTGTCATGTGTTGTTGTTGTTTTTCTTTTAGGAAAATGCCTTAGGTAATAAAGTGCATCTTTTTGTTACACTTTAAAAAAAAAAAAACAATGTTTGCTTTGTCTGTAAAGTTGTGTTCATGATGGGGGAGGCTGGCTTCACCGTGTTTCTTCGACGGTTCTCGGTCGCTTTGCACAGGTTACTCAATTTCAATTTTTAAACTTTCTTTCCTGTTTTAAAATTTTGCAAAGGATTTATAACCGTGTGCTAATGTCTCTGGGGGTTGTTGCCTGAAGCTGGAAGTGTAATCGGACCTCTGCCCAGCATGGGAGTGTTTATTAGATCACCACTCTACCCTGGGTCTGCAGCAGGCAGTGATCAGTTCGTAAGCACTCTCAGGAGGAGTATACTGACGTTGCAAAGCTGGGGACTTTGGAAACTTGGGAAAGTGTAAAATGGGGGTAGAAGTCTAAACGCGCAAGCAGATCACTTAAAGGCGTCGGTCAGCCTTGATTAAGATCAGGAGAGAAAGCCCCATCTGCTGAGTTCATTGGGACTATTTAGATCATTAAAAGGGTAAAAAAAACAACCTTGTTGATATTAATATTTTTATTAAAATTTCAGTGGATTATTATGGAATGTTTTTTGAAAGTATGGCAGCCAAGTCAGAAATCCTAAGAATATTCCTAATCCATGATGTAGCACATCCTCCTGAAGAAGGAAGAAGGATGTTATAATAAAGTGGGTCAGACACAGTGAGGAAAAGAAGCTTAAAAGAAATGATTAGAATCCAACCTTTATTCAGCATTTGGGAGAGAAGAGAAACAGCACTAGTACACTTTGAAGTGAAGGTGGAGTGTGCATTCACATCGCAGTCGACCCTTTCTGATCTTGCACACCTGTCCGTGCTCTTCCATAATTTTATAAAAACCCTGTGTCCTGCAAGTTCCTCGTTAATTAGAGGGTTTTTGTGGTAAAGCTTCTGCTTGTCATCTGCAGATCCTCATCTGAACTCGTTAATGTCCTCAAAGGAGGTTTTTCTGCAAAGTCTGCATTTTTAGACGTCACTAACAAAAGTATAATTTTTGTTGAATGCAGAGGTCTGAATATTTTTTGTGTAGTCTTAAAGAAAAACAGCGATACGTGTGCTTTTCAGGGTAAGTTAGCTTTATGGACTAAACAGACTAGGAAGTCAAAGTTAGCTTATTTAACAGAATTCAGTTATGTCCACTGTAATACTTAAATAGCCTCCTACAGAAAATACCAATGCCTAGCAGCTGTCCACAAACAGTGGCAGGATAAACACAAAAAATCATTATGTACATTTTTTGTCAACTACTATGATAAGAGATGCAGTTTTATTAAAGACTTTGCATCAAAGTGTGTATTTTGTGCCATGTTGCAGGAATCATTTCTGATCTCTGTTTTTCCTTAAAGGTAAAGGGATATGTTATTTAACAGGAAAGAACAGATCAGGCCAAAAGCAGGTTTTTTTCTTAGAGTTAGCACTGGCAATGCCATCTCTACAATGTATGATCGATGCCCCTGGAGTGTAAATCTTTGAAACCTATCCTGCAAGATCCAACTAAGAACCTTTGGACTTGGGGTACACTATTTCGTGGGGAACAAATACATTTTCTGGGTTTTCCCAGCTTTGTTTAACTGTAGTAATACAGATCAAACAAATAAGTTTCTGCAAGTCCAGCCTGTGGCTCCTTTCCATTGTGCTGCACAGTTTGGCTGGAAACACCTGATCTATTTCCTGGATTGATTGCAGGATCAGCAACAGTCAATGGCGTGGGTTGGACAAGCCACGTGGGGGCGGAGTAGCTCCACACTGGATGAATTAGGGGCCCCAAAACTAGTCTCGTCGCATTTCTTCTGAAGCCAAGGGATGTGATGGGGAGGCAGAAGACCTGGATCTGTGGGTGCCTCCCTCCCAGGAAGGGGACACCCTAGAAGCCACTGCCGCTACCCTCCACGTCCTCCACAAAGAGAGACCTCTTGCGCAGGGCGTTGCGATGGTTGTTGCTCCTCCGGGCCTGCGGGGGCAGTGTGGGGAGGCGGCGGCAGGGGGCAGGAGGCAGGCCTGTCTTGGTGGTGTCCAGCTCGTCAGGGTTCCCCTCCTGGGCGCGGAGAGCCTCCGTCACCTGGCGGTCGGAGGGGCCGAGACTCAGGCAGGCACAGGAACTCTGGTCCCCCTGCCCAGCATCGTCCACCGCGACAAAGGAGTCCCCCCACAGGCTGTCACAGAGGTCCTTGCTGTCCGTGTACATCTGGGAGAGACAGATCAGAGCCACAGGGAGTGAGCGAGCTCATCCAGCTCTGGTCCTGGCGAGCCAAGAACGTAGTAGAGTTGGCAAACGAGAGGAAGCCATACACCCCATCTACCCCTAAAAAGCCTCACCCATTAATAAAATAATCCTTATGTTTACATAGCGCTTTTCTGGACACCCCACTCAAGGCGCTTTACAGGTAATGGGGACTCCCCTCCATTACTGCCAATGTGCAGCCCCACCTGGATGATGTGACGGCAGCCACAGGTGAACAGGTCCCCTCATAGGCTAAAAGCTAAACCTCTCTGTCTCTGAATAGAGAGAACTGTTTGAACGGGACATTCCTCTGTGCCCAAGAATGTACCAGCAGTCGTTATCAGTAGTCCTGCAGTTTTTACAGGCAGCCTCATAGTGTCAAAAAGCAGACATCTGGTAAGCATGTTCGCTTTTACTAATTGATCCAATTGCGAAGCTCAGCTGGAACCAAAACTAAAAGAATCTAGCATTCCAGGATCAGGGATGGATGCCCCTTTTCTAGTCAATGGGAGCTTCCCATTTCTATACCAGACCTACTTCATTGCATTACTGCACTGCAGCTAGCCCGTAATAGTTATATGGATCCTGCCCATCAGCAGTTAAAGAGGGCCCTTATGTCACATTAAAATGTTGCCCCTCTTTTGTTGGGGCTTTCTTGGGGAGCCCACCCCAGATGGCACTGCCAGATTGGGAGCTGCTGTTTTCTGCGAGTCGTTAACGAGCAGCAGCACTGCGCCAGTCCGCCATAATCTTCTCTTTATCCCCGAGAGGAGCTCAAAGGAGAGGAGAGGATGAGTCGACAGAGACGCTCGGCCCAGACACAGGGGGCACCTGGCTGACGCGATAATCAGGAAGACGCCGTCACTCAGCCAGGGGAGTTAATCATCTGGAAGGTCGACTTAATCATGCCGCTTTAACGAAAGAACGATGGCAAGAGGCTGGATAATTGCCTTTCGCAAGCAGGTGGCGTGACAGGTGGAGCATATAAGAGGCAGCGCTGAGGATGACTCGTCAATTGCAGACAAACTCCACCGTCATGAAGCCTGAATTCATTAATATAACAGTGACAAAGACATACATAGCCAAAGTCAGGCCAGTTGGTGTGTTACGGAGTGTGCGCGGCTTCCCTCTCTAGCAGAGCTGATCTGGAGAGCCCGGGGGCAGGCAGGCCGCGCGCAGGACCGGGGAGTGATCTGTGTCTGGGGTGTTGGGCCCAGTCCCTAGGCGAGTGTCAGTGCGATTACAGCGCCGGCTCCTGATGAGCTGAGAAGGGCTTGGCGCTTCACAGCTGACAGGCACTCGCTCCTCAGACACAGTCCATCCCCTCTGAGAGGGGGCGCAGAGCTCTTTTTTTGCAGAGGAACTCTTTGACCCTTGGTTTTCCTCTGCAAAGTTCAAACAGGTTATCCCCACCTCCAATCTACAACACAGCGGGGGTGACGGATCCTTGATCAAGGAGGCAACCTCATTGGAGACTCTGACAATGGATAATTATCCCTAGTATTTGCTCCACACTGCTGTACCTCTGTTTACATACCACTTGGGTGTATCAGGGTAATTACTGCACATGATTATTCTTGTGGTTAACTAGCTATTATTATTGACCCAGTATCTTCATGTGGATCTTTGTGTATATGTTATATGTGAATCCATGTATCACATGTGACCAGGAGGACAATTAATTGGTTGATTGGCTTCTGGGAGAATTGGCCCTGGTGTGAGTGTGTGTCTGTGTCAATAAGTGCCCTCTGATGGACTGAACCATCCAGGGAGTACGGTGCCTGGCGCATGCGTGGGCTCCCTCCATGACTCCACTGGATAAGCAGATTAGACAACGGATGGATGAGTTCCCTCTCTCTGTGCTCTCTGGTCAGTGGTGCGGAACAGTTTGTGTGTGAGACTGAGCCTTTCCGCCCACACACACGTACCTGCACTCTGTAGGACGGTGATGCGAGTCGACAGTGGCTGAGAGTGTGAGTTTGAGTGTGATCGCCCCTCCCGGCTGTACTGTGCCCTCTGACTGACTGCTGGCGATGCCGCCACTCCCAAATAACACAGTGCCAGCAGGTTTCCTGATCACTGCTTTTGTGGTCCTCCTGCATACTGTATGTTCCTCCTCCTGCTTCTTCAGCCCTCTGATGGGACGGAGTTTGGGAAGCAGAGGTTTGGAAGATCATGCCTAGCCCAATGGCTCTTTTCATTCCCCAACTTCAAAAGAATAACCTGCTTAAAGAAGTCCTTCTCTGGACTTCAGGGCTGCAGGGCCTGGTTTTGCATTTTCCATTACAGACCACCAGCTCATCTAATTTGTTTCCTGCACAGCAGAGAGTTTACCAATGATGGAATTTAAGACACAATTGAAAGACAAATTGAAAGAAGAGGGCATGTTACCTGCTGGAAGGGAATGCAGTTTCTAGTGCAGTTGTTTCCCTGGGGTCCCCATTCCCAGTCGCTCACCCAGTTGTGCGCGCAGATCAGGTCCTCTTTACATGCTTCAAACCTGCCACAGAGGAAACAGTCCGATCTGATCACTTTGTCTAGGAAGCCTTGCAAATAGTGTGGAAGGCAAAAGTAAGTTGCAGCTGCTTAAAAATAGCATACTTGTGTTATATAACATGTCATAACTATGACTCGATTCAGGCTTGATTTCCTAATATTAAGTTCTGTGCTAATAATAAGTGAAGTACATGGATTTTATTAAGAATGATGCCTTAGGAGTGCTTCAACTCCAGAAGTAAAGCTCTGAGGACACAGCAGCAGAAACTGATCCAACAAGTTCTGACAGCTCAGCGTCTATAGGCCTCACAGCAGTCCCCAGTCCGGGAGCTTTTTCCCTGTCATTTAAACAGTGGTTTTTTAACCCTCTGTATCCTGGAGAACATATAAACATGTTACCGACCCTCCCTCCCTTCTAAGAACAGTCATCATCCGGGACGTCACATGATCCCCATACAGACAGCACTGGGGGATCCAGTCCAGGTCATAAAAAGGTCAGGTTAGTCTCCAGGTTTTCCTACCAGCTCAGCCCATTGTTGGGGCTTAAATGGGTTCACATTAACACCTCAAAAACCTGCAGACACACCAGCACAACAGGAGCAGGAAAGGTTCCCCCATTGTAAATTCTTGACATTTCCACAGATGGCTTTAGCACAGCCAGTTCCTTTGTGATGGAACTAAATCGTTTAACCCATCAATCCACAAACTGGTCCTGCGTCTACATTGGCATTAATGACCGGGATTGGCAGGTTCAGAATGTGAATTGTGGAGTTAAGAACCAAAAACTCACCTTCTGAACATTCTAGTAATTGTTTATTTTTCTGACAGATGGTGGATCTTCCTGTAATGCCAACATTGAAGTTAAATTGAGGCCAATTGCACGGAGCATCTCAGTTAAAGGGTTTTGTGGTATAAAAGAAATTGAGTCTCCTAGTTCATTTACTATTACTATTTAAGGCATTTACTAATCAAAGGGCTCAGCACAGCCAGCCTTTACCCATGACAGAACTGCACTGACTGCGCACACAGGGGTGGTCATGGCCTCACCAGTCCTGGCAGAAGCTGAGGCACAGGGGTACCCCCTGGATCGCAGAGGGCCGGTGTGGGTGAGCCCAGCGGGCCGCGTCCGGAGAGCAGCGGTAAAAACAGGCCAAGCGCTTCAGAAAGCCCTCGCACCTGGGGGAAGAGAGGGACAGCAGGCTGAATCTGTGGTATGTCATCAAAATGTTTCCTTCGCAAGTCTTCATTCCCACTGGTCTGCAGCAAGTTATGCAATCTTCCAAAGCAGTGTCAATTAAGTAATTAAGGAATCAATTAAGCAATTGAAGTCCCAGCTGGATCCCTGTCTTTCTTTGACATAGATTGGAAGGGCTTGCATTGCCTTACCCTGGCCTAATAAAATCCCTGGACTTTAAAAACAGAGTAAGTGTAGGGAAGAAGACCTGAGTTTTGGACAATACAGCAATTTTTCCAGAGGCCGTGACAAGCAGTGCACGACACTTTGTTTAATCTGAATCATGGGGATCGCTAAACTCATAGCGGACAAACGCAGGAGTGGTAAAGGAGCTCTTAAAACCACAAGGATCATGGGCTCCAAAAACATTGATCTTGATATGACCAGACTTTTTCGGAGTCTGAGGTGAGAGGCGCCGTTCTTTCATGTAAAATACAGTGAGAATTAAAAATAAGAAAAGTGGGAATAGAAAATCAGACAACTGGAAAAGGTACGCGCCCACACATACATCCCATTGCGCCAGAGATACTTTGGAAACATCTGTAGACTCAAAAACTGAACTGGGATCTGTCTGGTGTGGAAATACCAGGAAATGATGGTGTTTCTATATTGTAGGCAATCTGAAGCTACTTGCAAATGCATGCTGTGATGCCTGATGTCTATAATGGTTGGAAAAAAAAAGTGTTGTAAGGCATATTTACGTCATGGTAAAATCCTGGCAATCTAAAGGCTGTTAACAAAGGCTCTTGGCTCCCATTTCTGTGCAGTGGGAAGCAAAATGCTTCTTACTAATTGGAAATTGGAAATGTAGTGCCGTCCTCTGTATCCCATCATGCACCCTGTGCATGTGTTTTTTTTTGTAACACAGAGCAAATTGGTCTCCAAGTCCTGCTTAACTGCAGCAAAACTTCAGAAAAGAAACACAACCAGTTAATCAGTGGTTGTGATGTCGGCATGCACAGTGTCCAACAGCCCGGCTGTTGAAACAGCATGCTTCCTTAATTATGGATGTGTCTGGCGTGCATCAAGGACATCATGGAATGTTGCTCGGAGACTGTTTGCCAGCTCTCCGGGGGATGCCAAGGGGAAACAAAATATTCAAGCTCTTTCACAAGGGGCAGGGGGAACGGTACTGAGCGAAGCAGAAATAATGAAACCTGCAGCAGTCATAGACAATTAATTCATGCAACGGAGAAGAAGAGAGCTCTGCAAGGGTGGGGGGTGGAGAATTATACAGCAGTCCTGGTCCTCAGTCTAGAGTCACAATCTAGCAGCTCCTCTTTATATGCCCTTTAGTCATCAGTTTGCAAAGTCTTGGAGCACATGGGGTTTGATCAGTGAAGCAAATTCTAGGTTCAATTCAATCAGAAATAGCCAGCTGTGGTCTTTGCCAGATACTTGGAGTTAGTGCTCTCATTTCAGACAACCTCTAAGCCATTTCATTACCTGGTGGTCTGCAAGTCTAAGCTAATACATGACCCGCTGAGGTGGTAAAAATGAATTTGGTAAAAATGACTGGGCTACAATGTGAATATTTTTCATTCCAGTAGCCTGATCCAATAAGTAATCCTCAGTCATCACTTCTTTTTATACCTAGGAGCGAAACAAAGAATGACAAATCTTAGAAGCTGCCTACACGCTCCTAACTAGAAGTAGTTCTCGTGCGCTGTGTGCCAGTCAACTCAGATGCGTATATAAGGGAAACTGGCCCAGGCACTGGCGTGCTATGCGGACTGCAGACAGAAGGCTGTGCTTACACGGGGCTGAGGGGTCCACACCTATCCCAGGACACGCCGTCCACCTGGGAGATGGGCGAGCCAGCCAGCTCCTGGGTGTCCTGCTCTGAGCAGCAGGCATCTGGCGAAAAGACAGAGAGAGAGAGACAGGAGCAGTGAAGAAAACATGCACAGTCTGGCCTCCAGCCTTGAGATGCAGCCCTCTCCAGGCGTCCTGCTGAGATGGATGGTGTCACCACAGGCCAAGAGGGCTCCTCCTCTGGCTGATGAGGAAAGTGAAGAGCAATGCAGCACGCAGGGAGAAAGTCGCCGGACAGGGGCTAGACGATCTGGTTGCAGGGCAGCGCTACTCAAGCTGTATGGCCCTCCCAGTCTGCTCCATTACAGACTTTTGCAACTGAACCTTTTAATGATTCAGACAGGAATTTGCAGGATCAATATAGCAATTAAGGAACAGGCTGCATCAAAGCCCTGCAGTGGAGTGGACTTGAGATACAGGAGGCAAGAACCCCTTGTAGACAGGCTTGGGTATGAGGTATAGGGATTTAGGGAGATGGTGTAAGAGAGAAACTGTGGGGAGATACAGTACTGGGTTTGGAGTGGTCAGGGTTTAGACTATGGAAGTAAAGGTGTACCGGATGGGGTCTAGGAACCAAGGTGACACGTGCCTTTAGGATGTATTTAAGTTGTGAATGTCAAGACTGGAGGATTTTAACAGTATGGGAGTGAGATTATCAGAGCACTGGGGACTGTGGTCTTAACTAGAGTGAATCAGTGTGCTGGACACTCTTTTAGGACAGCGGTAGTCGACTCACTGTCTGAGTAGAGGGTGCACTCTCGGAGAAACGGCTCTGGGCTCGGCTCGGCTCTGTGTTTCCCTCCTTGGAGACACGCCCCGTCGTGGCACCACGCCCAACCAATCAGCGCTGCCGACAGCCACGCAGCGACCAATGGCTGCCACGCGTTGGCACGCATCTTTCAGTGTGCGTCAACCTGCGAGACAGAAAGAGTACCTTGGACAGCGACCGGGTTACACTCGAAGCAACCGATTCCCGGCTCTCTCTTCCGTCCCCTTTACTTACTGCTTCGAATCGCAGTCTCACACTACCAAAGGGTTTCGCAAGCCTGCGTTCGTACACATCCTTAGTCTGATTTCAAAGTTCTTATTTCGCTGTTTGCACCCATTCTAACCCTCTATACAGTTTCTTGAAGAGGACTGAATCTAGAATTTGTCGTTGTTCTCGGTGTTTAACATGTCAGTCGACGAACGACGAAGTTAGCAGTGAAGGTACATATGCAAATTCCAGTTTGGTAACCAACTGATCGCCCTAGCTTGATGTAAACCTGCCCCTCTGACTAGAGAGATGAATTTGCGATTGGACAGGTCAGTTGAGAGAGCATTTTAGTCATACCACTTTCGTTCTCGCGATATTTATTTTGTATTTGTTTTTAATTGCACATGTGTAGTTTCGTGATATTCCGTTCGACGTGTTTCATAGTCGCTGAGCTTCATATAGTTAAACATACAGACGCCCTTCCGATTCTCCAGCGCTACTCTCCTCCGCAATACCTTGTACTACTCTAGGAAAGTACAAGACTGAGTCCCAGGTTCATTATCGTTTTGCGTTTACAGTGGAGTATCGGAGCCTCAAATCTTCAGTGGACTTGATATGCGCCGTATGCTGAACATATAAAGACGCTTAATGACTGTCGTGTGATGGAAATGTATTGAGAAAGGGGATTACAAATATTCAGGCAGCGATTAAGCGATTGTTTGTAAGTGCGCATTACAGAAAAGCGGTCAGCGGTCAGCGACCTTAAAAATACTTACCAGCTTGACTTATCAACTTCCCTAGAAATTGCATTTTGCATTTATCCCTGGAGAAGTAATGGTCTCGTAATGCATTGAACTGTTCAACCGATAGGCGCTTTAAAATAGTACTAAGTGACCTATTGTCCTTACAATTCAGTCATTGCTTGAATATTGGATCGGATATCCTAACCATTCGACAAATAATCGCTTGCTCATTTTAAGAAGGAGTTTAATACACGTCGCGTATTTCCTTCTGAAACATCATCTCATCTGCTCTTGAGACCAGCAGAAGCAGGTTAATCACCGTTTCATGACATTTTTAAATACATTCTTACCCAACAATATTACTCGATTAGCTTAAGACGCACCATCCGGTGGTTTCTTAAATTCCGCGAAACAGGAAATGAGCTCCCGCTTATCAAATGATAAAATGATACATAAAATACCCGTCCTTAGGTCCTTAGGGGGGCGGGTGAATGATGTTTACAATAGAAGCAGTTTCACAAGAACAGACACAGCTGGTCCCTGAGCGGTCAGACTGTGCTGTACAGCGCGAAAATTAAAGAGCCAACTCAGGCAGGAATGTGTCCTTGGGCAACCGGGCTGCCCCAGTGTGCCGGAGGTGTCCCCTCGCCACCCGTCTTACCTGGTGCGAGACAGGCGCGGAACTGCTTCCTTTCCTGCGCTGTGGCGTTGGTGAGCGAGGAGCAGGGCTAACTGATGGGTCTGTCTGCGTTTCCAGCTCTTCTCCGCGCTCCAGCTCTGCAGGATGATCTCTCCTCCCCCGAGGCGGGTTGTTCATTTATGTCTGATTTACGGAAGGGCGTCTCGACCCCCCCCCCCGCTCCTCAGCAACCTCCCCCAATCACCACCATCTCCGTCTCTCTCACGGCACACATTGGCTGTACACGCTGTACTGATCATCACAAACTCTCACCTCCTCCTCTGTTGTTTGTTCTCTTCTCCAGATGGATCATTTAAACGATTGGCTCGCAGCTAAAGCACATGTAATGATGAACCACATCGGCCAGAGCCGGAGAGAGCGTGCACTGGGGGCTCTGACCGCCTTTGTTTTCCTGCACTTAATACCGTCCGAACTCGAAACGAGACCGTCCTGAAACCGCGCGGTTACTTCCCTGTCGTGGCTAAACTCGATACTTGAGTCAATCGTCAGTCGGGTTACAGTAACATACCTTATTCCGCCAAAGTCGTTCAGTCCCCAGTCAGTAGGGTGACTACTCCTAGAGAGTAACATGTCGTGTAACTGAAGGCGAGCCGTTACTTAATTGGTTCGGTTCGGCTCCTGCTGCATTCAGTTTCCCCATCTACTGTCTCCTCTCATTGTGTATTCTCATCGTGCATATTTTGTGTATTTCTTTCATTTGCATTTTAAATGTAGTTATCGTTCTGTAAAGCGCTTTGAGAAGCCACCTTTAAAGGTTTTATATAAAATAAAGTTGTTATTATTATTATTATTATTATTATTATTATTACATAATCGTCTGACAGCACTATTAAAGGCAGGTACGGTATGCTTTCCTAACGGTAGTGGACGCCATCGTGGTGATCAGTTCGTGACGAGGGGAAGAAGTCAGTTCTTTCGTTTAGAAGAACGTATCCGCGTAACAACTACCAGATGCGCTGGTTAAATCGTGTCTGAAGGATGTCAGGCTTTGCCCGATGAGAAAATAATATCCAAGAGGAGACTTCTGTTACACACTGCAAACCGAGGCAAGATTATGTGCTACTCCGTACAGTATAAATCAATGTTTTTCTATTTTTCACTACAAGTAAACACTTTACGCATGCAATTTACTTTGTGGGGGCGGTTTGGTTGCAGGTTTTTTTATAATCGATGGAAAATTAGGGCAGAGGCGTCGCCCCCTGCCTGCCCTCGCCCCCGCGGCATTACCCGCTCGAGCCGAGGAAAACAACAAGCTCGTCTGGGCGCTGAGTCACGGCTCGCTCCGGCACGGGCGCAGTCTTGCGCCTCCCGCGTCATTGAGACCTGGGGGGTCAGGACGGTTCAGGGCGAGGAGATGAGCGGCAGTATTAATGACATCCCAGCAGCCACCGTCTGCGGCTGCTCTCCGCGCCCTTGCTGAGAATACTGAATCCGAGCCCCTTCCTCCTCAGGTTACATTCAGTGTAACCCTTCGGCCACACAAACAGGGACAGACACAGAATATCCCATCCCCTCGGTCTGGACCCAGAACGTGTTGTCAAACGTGCTCCCGCGTGTTAAATGTTTCTTTTAATTCTGGAAGAACGTATTATTTTTACTTCAGCACACAGAAGGCAAAAGTGGCCTCGTTTTTATCATAACCGAGCTCTGTTTGTGTACCGGTGTCGTATCCACTACAGTATCCCCTGGAAATGTCCCCCTCCCGAAATGCGCATGTGCCGTTATCTCAGAGACGCCTGATTTTTCTCATCCTGCACATGTAAAAACACTTGATATATATAACGTACAAGGACAAAGATACACGGAGCCTTTGCTTGCTTTATTTCGGGCTTCCCTGTCTTGTACAAAAAGATTTTCAGCTTTCATGGCGTTTTTTTTTTTTACTTTAATCCCTAGCAAACGCTTGAAACCGATATAAACGCACACAGGCAACGGGCTCCTTTTCACCCAGATCGCAATTAGCAGAAGGCACAATATGATATTAAGCATCCTGGGACGTTTTGTGGAGCAGGTGGGGCATTTCGTTGGGGATACAGATTTCCAGGGGATACCGAACTAGTTACGACCCTGGAAGTGCGGAGTGCAACAGTAGTGTCCCACGCGCGATTGGAACCCACAGACATTGATTGACAAGCCCTTAGGCCTAACCGGCCCTCTCGGAAGAGCTTTCGCGAATGTCTCAGGGTGAAGACGTGTTCTATAAGATAAAACACCTCCACGACGCTACCTCTGCTGCAGACAGGGTGAGATACTGTAACAGCGAGAACCTGGTTTCCCTGCTCTTTCTATTGAACTGCATTTTCTGTGCCCGTGTCTGTTCTTCATTACAAAAAAGGGAAAGAGTGGGATTTATTATTTTAATTCTGGGTACGCAGCCCGTCCCTGGTGTGCCTCTTTGCTCTGACACGGCTGTAACACTTACGGAGTTAAGTCCCGGGATCAGCACACACGGAAATGGTCCTAAAAAGTAGTTGAACGGTAATCCCAAACCAGCCGTCTCCGCGCTAATCCCGGCAGGGCGGGTATTAGCGCTCCGTGAGGCAGATGGGAGTGTACAGCACACGGCCCTGGCCGGGATCACAGGTAGAAACCGAGGAACCGGCGCGCCCCCCCTCCAGCACTGCTGTTAATTCGTTGACACGGAAGTACCCATCCAATGACAACACTAAAGTGTACGCGGACCGTTATTTCAGATTCAGGGTAGAAAAGTCAGACACAGGATTGAACTACTTTCTTATTTTAGAGTGAGAGGGAGGAAAGGTACAATAGAATAAGTCAATAAAAACGTACAAAGTATCTCGGATTTCGGGATTTCTCATGAGTACGAGGTATCCGGGCAAACAAAACTACGCTGCGCGTGGATTTAGCGGCTTGGAGAGAGAGAGGGGGCACAGACAACAAAAACTTCATCAGACTCCGTATTGCGCGCTCGACAGAGGTGTTGTTCAAGGAGGACTTGACCAGTCCTCATATTTCAGATAAATATTTCGAAGTCCATACTTCACTCTCACTATAATGCAGTTTTGCCTGTACTGAGCGATTTACCCG